AGATGTTTTGGGGTCTAACACAAGATGCAGGCAAACAAATAAGTGTACCCTGTGGCTGAGCTTTACCACTGCCAGAGCCTTGGGTTCAGTTTCTAGGTCTGGAGTGGGAAGGTTTGATGAAGGGCAGGACCATGGTCCTTCACCCCCACCTCTGGTGCTCAAGTGAGAGCCCCTGTGCATCCAAAGCTGTGCTGAGGTCTCCACTTCCCACTGTGTTGGGGGGGACACGGTCCCCTTGGTGCTGCCCTTGGACATGACATCTTCCCTGGACATCAGATCACATCAGCTGGTGGCAATGGGACTTCACTGGGGGTCTTCTCTGGGCAGAGACCCAGCAGAAGGTCCTTGCCCCTGGGGTGGAGCAGCCCTGAGCTGGACCTGCCCCACCCTGCTCCTGCATGAGGGATGTTCTCAGCTATTAGATGCTAATTTAAGCATCAGTTTGCCCTTATTTTGTACAACAATTAAAGGTTAAACAAGTGTAAATCAGGGGAGGAGGTGAAATAAAAACCTTCTTGGTAGCATCGAGTCACCAGCCAGATTTTTATGTAATCAGTGTACGAGCAAGCACTTCTGCCATGAATTATGCATTCCTCTAGCAAACCTTCCTGAGTGAATTAATTTATATACATAGCAGTAAATAGATGCAGATCCCTTGTGAATCCACATGTCAGACTAGAATTAGGACCTTAAAAATGTTTATTCCGCTAAGTTGCGGGGGCAGGGGGAGGAGAGGGGTGGGAGAATAAATAATTTAGAAAATGTAAGAGCAAACAAAATGCACATTCTCAATCCACCTTCTCTTTCAATATTATAAATCACAATAAGGGTGCAATTATGCAGGCTGAAAAGTATTGGGGTGGTCAGTGGGGTCAGTAATGGCTCTGGAGGGTCACTGCCGTTTCTGGTAGATGAACTCCATTTTGGGGGAAAAAAAACAACTTTGCAAGAACCTTATAGCTTGCTTTATTATTCAGAATAAATCAAGGCAGAAAAAAGTTGAAATGGCAGAAATAATGGGGTTTGTTTGTTTGTATTTTAATGTGTATTATGTTTAGCAGGGCAAAGGCAAGTGAGGTATTTGGAGAGGATGAGTAAGCACAGAATAAGAAATACAGAAAAAGAAATACAGAATGAGAAGGCTGCAGGAGAAGAGGGGAGGCATCACAGAATTTCCAGAGGGAAAGGAGAGTGTGTAGGTGCATGTGTGTGTGCCTCTACATGTGTGTGCCTGTACACGTGTGCAGGTGTGTGCCTCCCTGCAGGCAGGGTTGGCAGGACACTGACATCTCCTCCCACATTCAGCCAGGGAGCGGGTCCTGCCGTGCTCAGGACAGGGTGACTGTGGGTCAGCAGGATTAAGTTTAGTAAGAAATCTCCATCCGAAGAGACCTCAGAGGGTGGAGGCTCTGCACTGGGTAGGTGTGGGATGGCTGGAAGTAAAGGGAATCTGCTCCCCAGGCTCCCAAAGTTGAGGCGTTCTCCCCAGGCCCCCCAGCAACGGTGCTGCCGCACGCCAGGAGTTTGGGCCAAGTTGTGTAAGTCCTTTATGCTCCTGATTTTTCTTCAAGGGTCCTTTTTATCCAGTCTGTTGGCCTGGAAGTTTGATTTGAGATACCCAGTGTTTGAAAATTTCATCTAGAGCTTACAGATTAGAGCTGGACTGTTCCAAAGCCCCTGGGCTTTCTCCCAGGTTTGCTGTTGGACTCTCAGGCTCTTCACAACCTCCAGGTCCAGCACAGCTGATTTTCTTAGGGGGACATTGAATACCTTGAATTCCCAGGATTTAGGAATAAAGGCAGAATCCATTTAAATGGTAATCAAGGAAAACAAATCTGTGCAATTGCTTGTCTATCCTTGCTGCTTTTCAGTGTAAATGCAGATTTATCAGGTCTCATGATGTGACTCATTTGAGGGTTGCATTGAAGTTCCAGCTAATGGAGTCAAGTGACTTAAGCCTCCTGCCCTTCTGGGACATGGCAGAGGAGGGTGGGAAATTTCAAAATGCATCAACTTGACTGATTTGGCTAAAGGCCAAGAAGCAAAATAGTGGTGAGAAGCTTCACTGGATTAAAAAAATATATATCTTGTGGTTTAGTGCAGATTTCTTTGTTTTTATCTCAGCTTGTGGGTTGCTGGTGGTTGCTTTCATAGGAAAGTGTTGCAGAAGCCTTCAAGGATTTCTCAAAACAGACAAGAAGGCTCAGTTTCTCAGCTGCTGTAAATGGTCTGGGAAGGGACAGGAGCTCTCACTTTGTAGCAGCAGGAGGCAGAAGCCCTGAAATGGAAATTTGGAGTGTGGAGTTTGCTGGAAAATAACCAGGTAACTCACATGGTGGTGGTCAGAGGAAATGGTCCCAGTTCTGCCAGTGCATTCACCCAGATAAATAACAGTGCTGCCCCAATGCCTCAAGATGTGTTGCTAACTTTATTAATGGCCCTTCCACTGACTTTTTTGTTGTTGTTGTTTACTAACATGATTGCAGGAGTTCCACTCTTCCTTTTTTCTTTTTTCTGTGCAGATCCAGGTGATCAGTTTTGTTACTGAGCAGAACTGGGATTCCCTGGAAGTGTTTGATGGAGGAGATAACACGGCCACCATGCTGGGGAGTTTCTCTGGTAGGTCACAGGGTGTGGGGCTGATGGTGGGACTTGATGATCTTGAAGGTCTTTTCCAGCCTTAATGATTCTGTGATTCTTATGTCAACATAACCTGGCTGGTTTGCACCAAAATGGGTGAGGGGCTACAAAACAACCTTCCTTCTGCTCAGCAGTGGGGACTGTGGCTTTGGGGAGAACAAGGAGTAGGAAGGAGCCCCTGTAAAGCTTTGAAGTAGCAGAGCCACTTGCAAACTGGTGTCCCCAATTCTTGCTTATTTAATGAGGAGATGTGTTCAAAGTGCTTTGAGGTTGGTGAGAAGGTTGTACATAAAGCAGACTTGGGGACTCCCAGAGCTGTGTTGTGGACAGAACCACTTGCTGTTGCAACAGCTCGCAGGGAGTGAGGCAGGAGAAGGAATCTGGAGTTCACAGGAGACCTACACTCCACCCACACAGTTTTTCATCACCAGTTCCCTTTAAGATGCTTTTAGTCTGCCTGGTCTGTAAGTGGTAAAACTTCACATGATGAAATTCATCGGTAGACTTTGAAAAGGCCATTTCAGAGAGGCCTTGGGTATCTCTCAATTGGCCTCATTAGAACCTGATCAAAACTAACAGAGCTTGTTAAGTTAAAGGATCTGTTCTCAGCCTCTCCTGCAGCTGGTCTCTGAGGACAGAGAGGAGGAGAAAAGAATCCTCCTCAGTATCTTTGTGCACCTCTTGTTTTCCCAGGAACCACAGTGCCTGCGTTGCTGAACAGCACTTCAAACCAGCTCTATCTGCACTTCTATTCGGATATCAGTGTCTCTGCTGCTGGCTTTCACCTGGAATATAAAAGTAAGAGCAGCTCAGTCTTGATCTCACGGTTCCTCTGAGCGAGGGGGAAATGGTCACAGCACCGTTGCCTTGTAGAACTGGCAGCTGCTGAGTGAAGGGGCAGCTTGAAGGGCCATTCATGTGTGGTTCCCTGCTCTCGAGCTGCAGAGGGAGCGAGCGATGAATGGAGAGGAGATGCAGGAGAGGAGGTGTGGGGTCAGGAGGTGACCTCATCTTGCTGCCCATGCACTTTGTAGAACCTGTTTGGTTTCTGTGTTGTAGCACAGGAGGAGTTGTGGAGGCCCAGGGATAAAAAAATCGTGAAGAGTTGCCCAATTGAACATGGTGCTGTAATCTTCACTTGGGAAGTGCTCAGAATGTTGCTTGGCAGAGGTTGGGAGGGACTGCCTGCTTGTTGCAGGCTTTCCCAGGCATTGGGTAGTGGTCATTGTGGGAAATGACCACATTGCTCTTGGGAATGGGCTGTCAGGTTTGGGTAAAGATGACTAAAATTTCTTCTCTAAAATTCCTGTCTTGATTGGAGCAGGTGTCTGTTCAGGAAAGGTGAACTGGAGCCAGGACAGGGGCTGTTCTCACTGACTGTACCAAGGGGGCCTGAATTACTCCCAGCCAGTCCAGCAGCAGCACAGGCAGGTCCAGCCAGCAGGGGCAGGGTGGCAGCTCCCTGCTCTGTTCAGCACATCTCCCTGCAGTGATCAGGAGGGGTCAGGAGAGCCAGCAGTCTGCCCTGGCAGGGTGCTGAGGGACGGCTGTGACAGGAGCTGGGCCAGGCTGTGGGTGGCTCTGCCTGCCATCCAAGCGGTGGTGCTGATGGGATGTGCTGGGACTGCTGGCTCTGCTCACAGAATCTCACAATCTCCCCTGGGGCAATGGAAACAGAATTGTTTCTTGCTGGACACCATGTCTGACAATTGGTTCTGATCACAAACCTTGTGTTTGTCTCCAAATCAACCAATGTTCTGTTTATTTATTTATTTATTTTCCCCAAGTAGCAAATAGATTAGAAAGTGCATTTCATGTTGTAAACCAGCCAGAGAAATGGCAGGGCTGTTGGACTGCAGAGACTCTGCTTTCAGAGGGCCAGGCAGTCCTAAGCTTTCCAGGTTTTACTGGGTTTGCAGATTGAAACCTGGCACGTTAATGGATGCAGCATGATTATAGCAACCAAGAAGGTTGGGGAGGGAAAATGTGCCTCAGATTGCTCTCTGGGAGCTGGAGAAATGAATGTTGTTACAGAAATTCTCTTGCTGCCACTCGGTTTCTTCCCCATTTCTGTTTCAATCAATAAGTTCTTTGAGGATCATATTGCCCCACTGCAACAATCATGTTCAGGTTTTTCATGAGGCTTGGGATTATCAGGCTTGTTTGGTTTCTTTGCTGAGAAAATTAATAGGTGTTGATTTTCAGGGAAGGTGGAAATAGTGCCTTTTCTGCTTTGCTCGTACAATTGGAATTTCACAGCACTGAGCCCCAGGTTTTGTCATTGTTCCTTGCAAGGTGCTGTGAGGAGGCTTTGAGAGACGAGCTAAAACCCCAGAGTTTTTTCCTCCCCTTTCTCCCTTGCTGGATTCCTCCAGCAAAGCTCTTATCTCTACATGCTCAAAAGCAAGAACAATTTAGGACCAAGCGAAACTCGGCGCCCATGATCTGAATGGGAAGTTATTTAAAGCCGTTTTCTCTCTTGTCTCTCTGAAGGTCAAACAACACCCCGTGCGTGGGGAGGGACTCGGTGCTTCCTCGCTGGGAAGCACAACTCAGGGCTTGGGGGGAGAGTCAAGCATCTCCTCTCTCCCCTTCCTTTTCTTCCCTGCTCCCAGCTCAGCCTGCAAACAGGGG